TATAATTATTTTTTGGGTGGAAATTAATTCGAGGGCCTTCAAATGGGATGCGGCCTGTGGGCCGGCAGTTGCCCATCCATGACCTATAAAATGCATTTGATACTGTTGCTGTATCCACATCATCATGAAGGCTGCGCAAGGCCATTTCTTCACCCAGCAGGTAGGCGTTTAGCCTACCAGGTCCTAATCCAGGCACTTGTCATCTCCCGTCTGGATTACTGCAACTCGCTGTTGGCTGGGCTCCCTGCCTGTGCAATTAAACCCCTACAACTCATCCAGAATGCTGCAGCCCGTCTGGTGTTCAACCTTCCCAAGTTCTCTCACGTCACCCCGCTCCTCCGCACACTCCACTGGCTTCCAGTTGAAGCTCGCATCTGCTACAAGACCATGGTGCTGTGAGGGGAACAGCACCTCCGTACCTTCAGGCTCTGATCAGTCCCTACACCCAAACGAGGGCATTGCGTTCATCCACCTCTGGCCTGCTGGCACCCCTACCTCTACGGAAGCACAGTTCCCGCTCAGCCCAGTCAAAACTGTTCGCTGCTCTGGCACCCCAATGGTGGAACAAGCTCCCTCACGACGCCAGGACAGCAGAGTCACTCACCACCTTCCGGAGACACTTGAAACCCCACCTCTTTAAGGAATACCTGGGATAGGATAAAGTAATCCTTCTACCCCCCCTTACCCCAACTATTTTTTAATTTTTTTTTTTAAATACATATTGTAAAGTGGTTATTATCCCACTGGCTATAAGGTGAATGCACCAATTTGTAAGTCGCTCTGGATAAGAGCCTCTGCTAAATGACGTAAATGTAAATGTAGCCGGCTATACGGGTCAAGGTCTTCTTCACGACCATGCGTTTCATCCATTAGCACCTTGCTATTCACCTGGGTATAAAAACACCTGTTCTTAGGTAGGCCCATGTATCTAGCCGCACGCAGCAAAGTTATCTTGTCCGTAGCCATGCTGCACACCAATGTTCCCTCACCTGCGCAAGCGCGCAGTAGCCCCGATACCTCCTCGCAGAAATATCAGCCCACAGAGAGAAGCACGAGACTGAACTTCACTCAATTTTCGACAGCAGTGTTCGCAATCGACTGTTCGATCTCCAAGGCATTCCTAGTCGATCGCCAAACATTTCTGTAAAAAACCCAACGATAAAGCCTTTTTTTTTGTATTCGTCTCGGGCTGTTTGCCGGTAGTTGCACCCGATTCAGCTGCCCTGCGCGCCGGGTAGGCGAACAGTTGCCATTTTAAACCATTTCAGGTGTGTGAAGGTAGAAATTCTGCCTTCCCGGCGGTCCCAGAGAGCAAATCAAGTGCACTATTCGGCCTACTGCTGGCTCAGATTACCTTGTCTGCAGTAAATAGCAGGCATAAAAGAAAGCTACCACAAAATTGATACTGTGAGATTTCAAAACCATGACTAGAGAGAGACTGTCAACGAACACAGCAAAGAGCTGCAGTTTTTATGAGTGAGTTCATGTTTAAGTTCTTACTCAGCACTGTCAACACTTTGTATTCAACACTTTTATAAGTCATAAAATGCGTGTTCTTCCTATTTCCACTCAGCGCTAAAGCAAGCACTGCAGCAGTAATGAATGAGTAGGAAAGTGTATCTATAGGCTTGCGTAACAACATGCATTTGTGCATGAGACAGAAATAATGTGGTGCAACTCGAGTTTCGCCATCAGCAGGAAGACGGTGTCCCGTTTTGGTCAGTGTCAGTGGATGTATGCTCACTCAGTTGTGCCTCACAAGTAATACAACAATTGATCTATTACCAGTGTGATCATATAGCCTACCTCCATTTTTTTTCTTAAATGGCTCGAACAACAATGCATTGGCAGGGCAATTCAAGCAAAGCTAATATGCAGTGATAATGTACTGGGTCTATAGCTTACTGCACAAACCTCATTGCTACAGTACTGTTTTTAATTGGTTAATATTGCACAGGCTTATGTTTTTTAAGTCCTGTTAAAACAAATTATGAGCTGTAGATCTCGGCTTTCATTTTGACTCAAAGTGATCTTGACTCAAAGGTTGGTGGCCACTGTTCTAGAGTTTTCCCTGTTAACACTATCAACGTTTCTTTTTACAAACTATGCAAGAGATTTTGTTGTAGGCAGAATGCATCGGAGTAGGATTCTATTGCATTGATGCCATACTCTACACAGACCGGTACAGCATAAACAATCAGAGCTGCAGTAGGCCTATATGCAAATATTGCCTTACCTCCATAACTTGCTACATTTGCACACACTGTATATATATTTTCTGTTGAATTTTTTGACTTTGTTTTTTTACTCCATATGTAACTCTGTGTTGTTGTTTTTATCGCACTGCTTTGCTTTATCTTGGCCAGGTCGCAGTTGTAAATGAGAACTTGTTCTCAACTGGCTTACCTGGTTAAATAAAGGTGAAATAAATAAATAAATAGACCATTGCCATATATGGATCTGTGCCATTTACTTTGAACTGGACTGTGTTTACAGCATGAGCGGTCATGAGTAGATGTGCTTGTTTTGAGATCATGCAGCTTTCGCTTTGTAGCCACGTGCACATTTTGCTCATATCCTTTGCTAGTGAGTTAGTTAGCCCAGTTATAGATAATTTGTAGTCAGCAATAGGGGAGTGATTGCTTCCTACAAGAGCACAAAACATGTACATTTCTATACACCTCTGAAAAGCAAGTCAGGTAAAGAGCTTTTTTTCTTAAAGGGGCAGTGTTGTATTTTGAGACAAGCTTGAATAAGCTAAGTAGCCAATAGGCAGAGGGTAGCATAATTTGTCTGATTCTCTGTAATAGTGGTATGAGAATAATAATGCATTTGATTTTGTAAAGTGGTTTCTTGCATCAAACACAACAGCATTTTGTCACCTCCTTGTCTGAAGGACAAGTGGATAAACAGGTTAATGTCAAGCCCTGCATGTTTTTTACAAAAGTATCATGGAATGTAGGCCTACATTGAACACAATACATTAGCTGCTACTGTAGGCTGAATGATAGAACAGCTATTTCCATGCTAAAATGTTATGGGATGCATGTTCTCCATTGTTTTTGATGGTATGCCACTCTGGTAGGCCTACATTATGATCAAATAGCCACAGTAACCTACATGGCCACTGTTAAAACTTAAAGCGGGTACAGCCTCAGTGTTCACAGTAAATGTGAGCTGGAAGTTGCACAGAATTTTCACAATGTTCAAGTTTGTGGTCAGCAGACCTGAAATTTGCTCAGTGCTGGAAAAAGTTTGACGGAACATTGCTGCACACCATATATTCCAAACTTCTGCTCTCTGTGGCCTCTCTGACTAAAAATCATGAAATTGTTTTTTTGTTGAAACGATGCTAGCATCTGTGAGTGTTCAAGGTAGCGTTCTGGGCGCTAATTTCCTTCAGAATGCATGGTGCACTCATCAACCGCAGCACCGTTCAGCAGGGCTAGGCAGGCCTATATTCTTGTGGACGACAGAGCGTGTCGACCAAAACAGTGCTTATCCATGGGTAATGATACAGTTACATGTTCTCGAGGCGAGTGTGGGCCTCTCTCTTTCTACAATAGCGTTTGATTACATTACCTTAGGCTTATAGCTCGGTGGCTGATTGCCACTAAACGAGTCTCCCGGGCAGTTATGCAGCACGAGGCGGTATTAAATCTCACAGGTGTACTTGAGGATGAATAGCTCATTAGGAGGAGAGGTGATTATGGTACAGCTACTCAGGTATGAAGAGCTCTGGGATGGAGTCTCCAGACTAAACCTGTTATGGATTTTCCTGCCTGTGAGGTTTCTAATTTCATGCAGCTCACTCCACCCATCACCTGATAGTGCCAGAGAGACTAGGGGATCATAAACTGTCTCCCCTAACTCCCAGTGATGTTTGTTACCAGGCCACTAATAGGGTGCTAGGGGGCAGGACAGCTGACAGTCCTGCCTGCTCAGGTCAGAGCCTCAGTCTCTCCAAGTGGACAAGAGTGAGTGTTGTTGTTATTGAAACTTGTGCATTTACTGTTGGTTGTTACTATTGCTAGTTGTTAATAGTAGTTTATAAACTGGGTGGTTTGAGACCTGAATTCTGATTGGCTGAAAGCCATGGTATATCAGACCGTATACCACGGGTATGACAAAACATTTAGTTTTACTGCTCTAATTACGTTGGTAACCAGTTTATAATAGCAAAAGGCTCCTCGGGGGTTTGTGATATATGGCCAATATACCAAGGCTAAGGGCTGTGTCCAGGCACTCCGCGTTGCGTCGTACATAAGAACAGCCCTTAGCCGTGGTATATTGGCCATATACCACACCACCGACTAGGTGAAAAATCTGTTGATGTGCCCTTGAGCAAGGCACTTAACCCTAATTGCTCCTGTAAGTCGCTCTGGATAAGAGCGTCTGCTAAATGACTAACATTTTTTTTTTTTTTATCTCTTCTCTGTACAGAACCACATCCATCTCATATGTCCTCTGGAAATAAAGTTATGTAGTGTGTGGAACTCTCTGAGGTTGCCTTATTCCTCTGACCGGGAAAGGTGACAGTGAATCACAGACCAGCCCACCTGGAGAACCGCTCTCTTTCAAAACCCCTTCGGAGATACAGTAGATGGGGCACAAGGGCAGGAGAGTGTCGCATGACCCATGATATGCAATCAGACTCCTTCATTACCACAGCAAATGCAATTAACTGATGTGTGAGCAGGGGTTACAAAGTAGCCAAGACCTCATTAGGAATCAAATATCCTATTACTAATGCAGCGGTGGAGGGGGAGTAGTCAGCCGGAATGGGACTTAAACCAGTAACCCTGTATAGGTACAGTGCGAGGCAGCACACTTCCACCTGTGCCATATAAGTCCAGTCCTCTTAGCAGAGGCCAGTTTAATAGGGAGGCTACAATGTTTGTGGATGCTCCCTAAAGTTGAGACCAGTGCCTGGGAAACGCAATTTATTTTATTTTATTCCCATTCCTCACCACGCGTGGTGGAGTCTGGGGACCTCTTTTTCACGTAGGGCAGATAGAGCCGCTGTCAGTCTGCATCTCTGTCTCAGCTTCACTGGCGTGTGGAGAGTCCCTCTGTGCCCTGGACACACACACACACACTCACTCGCGCACACAGATAATGCAGGAGCGAGTTCTGTGTGTGTGTTTTGGGTGGCTATAAAGGGCAGGGAACTACCACGTGACGAAAAATGCACTTCACCTGAGCTTTGCCTACATCAATCCATCCATCCAGGTAAATGGGTCAGTGATTCTGACAGAGGTCCACACTGCAGAGAGTGAGCACAGGCAGTTAGCTGCCCCAGAGAACAAACACACACCACAGTACTCCACTCAATAGTTAGCTGGGGACTTCAGCTCACTTTTAAACTGTCTGTGGAAATTGGTTATTTGGTTGCTGAACTGCAGTGAAGTCTCTCTCTCTAACTCTGCCCTTGTTTGACCTTCTCATACTCTGTTTAGTCAGACTATACTATCAGATCTGATTAGCTTTGCCCAGCACTGCAGACAGTGTGACTCATCACACCACAGTCTATGGCCATCATCATTACCTCCAATCTGCTCCCCAGGGGGAAGAGGCCACCAGGCAGGCTGGAGGAGAGGCACCCTCAATGGGCCACAGTGGCCAGATAATCCCCTCCCTTATTACCAGGGCAGTAGACTATAGTTAACTGAAGGGGGTGCAGATTGGTATGGATAATTGGCCACATTTGAACCTTTGACACAATCACCCACAGTGATCAGCATCACTCTTTCTAACTGGTACTTTCTATACTGGGTCTCTCTGTACCGCTCCCTCTCTCTCTACTGGTGTGGGACTGCAGATGAGTGCAGCCGTATCCTAGCATGGCCTGGAAGAGGCAGGTATAGGCAACATCACCTACTGAACACTGTCACTCAGTCATACAGGACATGTTGATGGCATTTTATACATTGAGAAAGACGAAGAGAGAGAGGGAGAGTTTTTGTTTGAGAACAGAATTCACTGCAGTGCTTAATTGCAGAGGCAGATTGCAACAGAAAATTTTCTGGAGAACCAACTCCAGACACTAGTCAACAACATAACACACACCCCAACCCCCTCCTGTGGGTTCCACCGCCTGCGGAATTCGACAGCTCTTCAACGCTTGGCTGCTCCTTACTGTCCAGCACTCAAACAGTCTTCAGTACAAACTGCAGTGGGCTAGAACACACAAACTGCAGCCGAACACACACATAATACTAACACAGAGAGAGAGAGAGGGAGAGCAAGAGAGCAGTTGCCTCACCAAAACCCATCCAAGTGTCCGGTCTGAAACATCAGGATCTGACTCTCAACCCTGTAAGCAGAGCCCTCTGATTCCACTAGAGAATCAAATAGTGACAATAAAATGCAGAAAGAAGACCTGTGGTATTTGGACATCTCTAACATTCCAGAGGAAACTCCTTTCACAGTTGCCTCCTCTTTCTGGACAGCTGGGGAACTGTCTGGTATGGAGATTCCCAGCTGTGATTTGAATTTGATAACCAAGTCCAGATAGTTGGTGGACTGGTGAAAGCCAGATTCCACCATGTTATACCCTCTGTCTTGTGTCAGAACCACAGAGGGAGGGAGGAATCCCATTTGAAATATTTGAACAGGGCCCTGAGAGAAGCCTGTCAATTCTGTTATGAAAACATGTTTACTCCTGCTGAAACTGTTAACCTGCATGATGTTACAGTAGTTGTTCAATCCATCTGTGTGTTATTGAGCTGGATGTTTTATAAATGAGGATTGATCGCAGCAGTGAACTCTGACCTAGTATTGATTCAACAAAAGAGGAAGAGATGTTCAAAGACGGAAAGTTTCAGCTATCCACATGTTCTCTGTGAAATCAATATAAAAACTTAACCCACACACACACCTGCAGGCACAGAGGTGCACACACACACCTACAAACACACACTATAATAACTTAACAAGAAAAAGCACAGGGCTAGATGTTACATGAACGTTTATGATTTTCTTAAGTTAAATGAAAACAGTTATAAAAACAAAAAAGACAAACAAAACCTTTCCTCCTCCTCCCACCATCCTGCCCCCTATTACATTTAATCAGTGTGAAAGGAACACCCCCCTGGGTCAAAGGTCATTGACCCCCTTACCCTTAAGGTTTCACCCCAAACACGTCTGTCTGTCCGTCTGTTAGCACCACAGCCTTGGTTCAGACTAACGGACACATGGTTCTGATCGATGCCATGGCAACCAAGCACATCTGCCCAGTCCTCTCGAGACCATACAAAAGTCAGGCTACAGAGAAACAGAGATTTTGTGTACAATACTTACATTCACACAGTTACAGAATCAAGGACTGCACTGTACTAGAAGATGAATTCGCTGGTCAGTGATACAGAGCAGGACATCAATCTCACACACACACACACACACACACACACACACACACACACACACACACACACACACACACACACACACACACACACACACACACACACACACACACACACACACACACACACACACACACACACACACACACACACACACACACACACACACACACACACACACACACACACACACACACACTCACTCACTCACTCACTCACTCTCCGGGGTGGGTGTGGTCCAGTTACGGTCTGGGTTGTGAACCGTAAAGTGTGTAAAGTCCTGGTGTTATGGTCTCTGGTGGGTCTCCACCCAGTTCAGTTATGGTTCAAGATGGCCTGGTCTTGGTGGGATCAGTAAAGTCTAGTTAGATCTGGTCTGATCTGGACTGAAACAGTTCTTGGTGTGTGTTAAATCCACTTCAGATCAGGCCAGAACTCTGCTACTCCTCCTTCCATCCAGGCCTCCAGTCATGTCCCTTACAGCTCTGAAACAGGACACAGTGTTAGGACTCAACGTGATGGAAAATACAGCATGCTTGTCAAAATCAGTGTTGCCAACTCCTCAGTAAGGAAAGTAGCTATTGGCTGTCCTAAAAGTCGCTAAATGACATCGTCACCCAATTTGCATAATTGTCCATGTAATTGTGATGGACGCTGTAGGAGAGAGGAATAATGTTGTGGGAGAGACAAAAAGTGAGTAAAAAGCTGCGCGAGGACTGGGCCACCTGTGAGTGCTTTGGGACAGGGGTGGGGCCCACGGCACCTGATGCTCGTTGAGAAGAGTAAGAACGATACGTGCTTTCACGTCAGAGTCTCCAATAACACCAGAAAAAGTTGCTAGATTTTTCACTAGTCGCTTTTTTCGCAAATGTGTCGCTAGAGGAGTCTGAATACACGCTAAATATAGCGACGAAGTCGCTAAGTTGGCAATACTGGTCAAAATACATTTTTTTATCAACTAGCCTTTTACTGTTGTTGTATTTTTTATTTTCAACCCTGCATCCTTATTCTTCAGCCTCACCATCTCCCAACCCATTGGCCTTTTAGCCCTCTACTCCCTCTCCATTGGCACTGGGCCCCCTGTCCTCTCTCCCCATTGGCCCCCTGTCCTCTCTCCCCATTGGTCCTCTTCTGCCTCACCATTGGCCCTTTGCGGCTGTGCTCCTCCTCTGCTGGGACAGGCTGTAGATCTCCTGCAGCTGTTTCTTCTGGTCATCACTGAGGGGTGTGGTCAGAGACTGGTACCAAGGCTGGTCTGTGTTCTGGACCCCTATAGTACACACAGGAGAGAGTAAGAGTTAAATGCCTGTGTGTGTGTACAAGTAGCTGTGTGTGAGTTGGTGTGTGAGTTGGTGTGTAGATGTGTAACCCTTACTGAGTAGGGCGGCGGTGAAGAACTGGTACTCGTCCTCTCCATTGTCATAGTCCAGGGGCGTGCTGTACTCCTCCAGGGGTGTCCCCTCCAGCCCCTCTTCATCCCAGTAGTCATCATCATCATCATCATCCTCCTCCTCCTCGTGGCCTACGGGCGTGCTGGACTGCTGTTGCATCATTGTGTTACGGTTCTCATTCACCTCATCCTCATCGCTGGGGATCTCCTCTGTGGACGCAACACACACACAGACAGAGAAACACACACATATAAAAACAGTATGAATAGAAAAAAATTACACTTTTACCTTTTTGAAAGGCACAATTTTTCATAATGCCATTTTAATATGCACAATTACAGTGGCAGCTGCTTAGCTAACATACTTAACCATTTCCTTTATCTTAACCTCCTCTGTACCCTGCCGTGCCAACTAACACTCCCATATTCCCAGAAGGTAAATTAACTCAAATGGAGAAAATATGGAGGCTAAAAGTTACAGAGGGACCCTCCATGTCATCTCCTCTGAGCTAGTCTCATCTACTGCCTGTGTGTCTGACTGCACAATAACACTACAACCCCCGGAAGCATTCTGAATATTCTGGAACTCCAGGTTCTTTACACTTGACTGAGGAACGCCAGCACAGCTGCCCTGAGCATGTAGGGAAATGTAGTGCAACTAATATGACCTGAAGGCAGAGTGAGAAGTCAAGCGAGAGAGAGAGAGGTCCAGAGATATTGGAACCTAGCCATAGATGTGTAAAGCAACACACATGTGAACAGCTGAGGACTGATTCTATGTCAAGTGTGTGTGTAAACTGAGCTACCATATCCATAGCTAGGGCTGGCCCTCCCCAATGGCTTCCAAGAAGCGGGTTTGATTGAACAGTATTAGCATCTCTCCTTTCCTTTTCTCTCCTCCTCTCTTGCCTGTTCTCTCCATTCCTCTCTCATTTGTCCTGTCTCCTCTCCTCCCCTCCTCTGTCGCCTGTTTTCCCATTTTCCTCATCTCCTCTCACCGTTCTGGTCCTCCTCTGGTACCCCAGTGCAGGCCAGTAGGTCTGGCTTGTTGAGGAGGCGGGAGGAGTACAGGTGTTTGAGCCCCAGGAACAGGAGCAGGACGCTGGGGACGATCTGAGCCGCTACCCCCTCTACCACCACTGGCCTGGAGGGTAGCTCCATCAGAACACTCAGTCCAATGATACACATCTTACGGTCATGGAGCCTGGGAGGGAGGGAGGGAGAGAGGGAAAAAGAGAATGAACTACAGGTATGTGGTGAATAAATCATGTATAGTGTACTGTAGTAGGTATAAAGTGTATATCCCCCATATGTTTTTACACTGCTGTAGGAAGACCACAGTGTGACTCAGCGATGACTAACAGTATAGTTGATGAAGTGCAGTGGCGACCCGTCATTCAGGGCAGGTGGAGCCCCACCTGTTTTGAGCCCCACCTTTTTAGGGCGGGGGTTGCCTGTTTTGCATGTTATTTTGACATTAATGTGTCACATATCAGTTTGCAAACAATGTAAAAAAATATATATAAAAAAAGAAAATAATCATTGAGTTAATAACGCTGCATACAAACCTTGTCTCTTTTTTGCTTTCTTTACTAAGGCAGCTCCAAAATGCAGATGTTTCAGCCTAGCTCAATGCTTTCTGAGGTGGTGGGGCAGCCATCGGAAAATATGGAGCGTAGGGGTTGGTAATGTTCTCTAGTTGCACCGTGATTGGGCAATGTTCTTTAGTTGCGCCGTGATTGGCTCAGTGTTCTGTCACTCATGGGGACACTACGTCACTGCCAAATCTAAGGGTAGAGCTCGAAAGTTCAAGCCCCTTGGGTGCTGCCATAGAGTTACATTAGAAGTGCCCATCCAAGAAGGCTCAAGGTCATTGGCCACAGATACAATTACGTCATCACGTTATATCTACAGTGGCTTTGATTGGACTGATCATGTCAACATCATACTTTCAAAATCTTAGCTAGCAGTCATCATCATGAATCAAGTCAACAATCTACTGGCAAATCCTTTTTAATCCTTGTCATATGAAGAGAAATAATGAAGAGAAATTATAGATAAAATGTATCGGTGCTCATCGGCCATAAACATTACACAACAAGTTGGAAATCTCAAATTCAACAATGAGTGGTTTGGAAGGAATTAGTGGCTAACTGCAAGCATTGCAAAGCAATCACTAGTCTGCTATTCAGTGGAGTGGGTTTGTGGTTCCAAGTCTGGGTTTAAAGGTCTCTTTTCCAAGCTTAAAAGGATAAACATTCAACTTTGGCCATGCTGTAAATCCAGCATGACTTCTGCCGCACTCAAAAGAACTGGAAACTCAGAACTGGGAAATCTGACTTCAGTGAGTTCAAGACAACTGGGAACTGGGGGAAAAAACTAGCTTTACATTTACATTTTAGTCATTTAGCAGACGCTCTTATCCAGAGCGACTTACAGTTAGTGAGTGCATACATTATAATATATTTTTTCCATACTGGCCCCCCGTGGGAATCGAACCCACAACCCTGGTGTTGCAAACGCCATGCTCTACCAACTGAGCTACATCCCTGCCGGCCATTCCCTCCCCTACCCTGGACGACGCTGGGCCAATTGTGCGCCGCCCCATGGGTCTCCCGGTCACGGCCGGCTACGACAGAGCCTGGATTCGAACCAGGATCTCTAGTGGCACAGCTAGCACTGCGATGACTGGGAAAATACGTTTTGAATGGTCATCCAACTCGGAATTGAACGTCGGGAACTCGGGCCTCTTTCTTGTCTTGAAAGCACCATAAATCCAGAGAATGCCAGACTTTGATGACAAAGTTTGCCCATGAAGGACCGCCGCGCCACCTTCCTGTTCAAGTGAGCACGGCACAACACGGTGAGTCCAAAAATGTATTGTATGCTGCTGCATAAATGACGTAATATGCCAGGGAGATATGTATACTGTAGCTAAGAAAGTAATACTAATTGTATGTTGTGGAGTAAGCTGTTAGTAGCCCATGTGCCTCACCCTAATAATTTGGTCCCATTTCCCCCTCTTAATTTCGCCTACTGTTCTGATTTGGTGGTGCACGTGTACCTTATAGCCTGTTTTTGAGAAAAATAATCATCAAATATTTCATTGTCTACTTATATGCCCCTTTTATTTATCCTACGGTTCTGACTTGGTGTACAGGGAGAATACTGTAAGAACGGCCCATGTTCTGAATTCTGTCGCTGTACATTTCAAAAGTGCTGAACAAATAGTTATATTGACTACGTCCGTCCTAGCTCGCTCATTAATGTCTTAATCAAAATTACGGATGGCCTCTTATCCGCTCATCATTCCCTTATGCTAGTTTGTACATCTCAATTGTCAGTAGAAACCACATTTGTTTAAGCAAGTCAACCATCTCAGCTATGTTTTTTTTTTAAGGCAGTAAATGAGGCTGAATTAACTGTTTCGCTGCCAGACAAGGCTCTGCTGATAGCCAGGTGTAGCACTGGTAAGGTGTTGGGACTGCTGTTGGGACAGCTTTATGTAGGCCCTAACATTTTGTGGGCACCGTTTGTCACCGTTATAGTGCAATTAATGTATTGTGTTGTGGCTTTGCTGGCATGCATAAAAAATAAATAAATATATAGTTTGCCCCACCTAAATGTACATGCTAAAGTCACCACTGATGAAGTGGACCATATACAGTATGGGTCTAGCAGTATTTAGGGAACATGGTTTAGGGCACGTTGTTTATCCACTGTGTACTTTATAGTTGGTAGTGTATAGGGGGTAGGATGTAGTGCGTATGGCTTAGTTTATACACTTACCCCAGGAAGAACTCAGTATCATTCATCCACTGGTTGATGAAGTGTGCGGTGATGGGCTGTGGGCTGTGGGGGAATTGCATGTTGTCCAGCGTGTGGATGAGCAGGGCTGGGTTGTAGTAGAGAGCAGCAATGGCCACCTGCAGACACATGGTCCTCAGCTCACTGGACTTCACACCTCTGGTTAGGCGCTCCAACACAGCCTCCACGAACAACGGGATACACTGGAGGAAGGTGGGAGGTGGAGAGAGGGAGAGAGAGAGCGAGAGATAGCTATGGCTGACTGGATAATATCTGTCTGACATTACATTTACAGGACGATCATTAAAACTGTGCCAAATCACATGGGGGTGAGAGAGAAGAATCAATACAATATTGATAGCAATCATCACTCCCAACGGGAGATTCAGGGTATGGAAAGGTAAGACCATGCAAACTGATTTGGGCTGAACTGGGACCACGTCTACCCTTAAATACTACCCAGAAGCCGCCGGGGTCCCGCTCACCTGGTCGATGCCCCTCCCCCGACACTGGAGGATGATGACCTCTAGCAGCTTAGCAGCGTGACACTCTGCATCCTCACCTGCATCACTGGTCAGCACCTATAGCACAGGAGTCAAAGGTCAGAACACGAGACACTTCATCAAACCCTACCTGGACACACGCATGCATATGCTCACACTCACCTTTTTGCACATGGTGTATATGACCTCTAAGTACTTGGGGTTGGACAGGAGCATGTCCGTATCCACGGTAACGTAGTTGTGCAAAAGAGGCATCATATCTGAAAGAGAACATACACAAACAGACCATGATCATCATCATCATGTTTGACCAGTATCAGCTTCATCATCATGTTATTCTACATTACATTCACAGTGATATTCAATGTTCACCTAGACAGGTGTGTAGGCCCAATATACTCACTAACAGGCAGGTGAATGTTGACCAGTGACTCAGTACTGTACCTGTGAAGTAGTCAAAGCAGTCATGCTGGAAGACCTCGTAGAGCACTGCCAGTAGCTGCCACATCTGTGGGGAGATGGTCTGACAGGTCAGTCCAAACGCCAGGGACAGAATCTCCTCATAGAACTCTGGAGGGGAGGGAGGAGAGGAGAAAACAGATCATAGAATTGATATTTCCCTTTGAGAAAGAAATAATCTTCCACAGTGACCCCCACTCCTCTTGAATAAAACTCTCATTGTAACAGGTTATCACATAATCCATTCATTATACACACACAGCACAGAGGTGATGACAGACACACACACACACACACACACACACACACACACACACACACACACACACACACCGCAGATGGGATTACACACCCAGAAACACACACGAGCCAATTACAGGCATGAATGGTGCCTGGTCATCTGGGATTTCGGAAGCGCAAGGGGAACAGCTTTTGATAAATTAGACAGTGTTCATTGTGAGACGGAAATAGACAAGGTGTTATACAAGAGAGGGGGGTAGCTCACTGGAACAGGAAAGTGAGATTAATATGGTTATTGTGTAATGTGTGTGTGAAAAGCACACAAACACACAAAAGGTCACAGAGAGGAAGAGACACACAGCAAACACATTAGTATGTGTGTACACACAAAAACAGACAGTGACGCAAGCACACACCTGCCATACCTATGATGGGCTTCTGCAGCACCAGGCCGATCACCTGTAAACAGATGCCCTCCAACTGCTGTGTGATCTGAGAGAGGGAGATGAAGAGGGAGAGAAGGGAAGAGAAAGAATGCGATAACAAAAGAACGAGAGGTAGTCAAGAAGGCGAGAGAGACCGAGAAGAGAAAAAAAGAGCAAGAGCGGAGAGATACAGACAGAAAGAGAGACCAAAGGTCAAAGATCATCTATTGATCCCAGGCTAATATCTGTCTGACATAAGGCTGGCACAATTACCGTATAACCGACGGTTATTGATGAAGACCGCCATGAAAATAAAAGAACCGTCATAACCGTAAAATATGGAACAAACAGCTGACTGAAGGTGGGACGGCGGCGCATTCGTGCAGTTGAGTCTGTTTCTGCGGTAACATGAACTCTTAACAACGTTATGAAACTTTGTTGCTCCTTGCTGAAATGTACAATACCGGTCAAAGGTTTTAGAACACCTACTCATTCAAGGGTTTTTCTTTATTTGTACTATTTTCTACATTGTAGAATAATAGTGAAGACATCAAAACTATGAAATAACACATATGGAATCATGTAGTAACCAAAAAAGTATTAAAGAAATCAAAATATATTTGAGATTTTAGATTCTTCAATGAGCGGCAGGTAGCTTAGTGGTTAAGAGCGTTGTGCCAGTAACCGAAAGGTCGCTGGTTCTAATCCCCGAGCCGACTAGGTGAAAAATCTGCCGATGTGTCCTTGAGCAAGGCACTTAACCCTAATTGCTCCTGTAAGTCGCTCTGGATAAGAGCGTCTGCTAAATGACTAAAATGTAGCCACCCTTTGCCTTGATGACAGCTTTGCACACTCTTGGCATTCTCTCAACCAGCTTCATAAGGTAGTCACCTGGAATGAATTTCAATGAACAGGTGTGCCTTCTTTAAAGTTCATTTATGGAATTCCTTTCCTTCTTAATGCGTTTGAGCCAATCAGTTGTGTTGTGACAAGGTAGGGGGGTATACAGAAGATAGCCCTATTTGGTAAAAGTCCAAGTCCATATTATGGCAAGAACAGCTCAAATAAGCAAAGAGAAACAACAGTCCATCATTACTTTAAGACATAAAGGTCAGTCGATACAGAATATTTCAAGAACTTTGAAAGTTTCTTAAAGTGGTGGGTTCGATTCCCACGGGGGACCAGTATGAAAAAATGTATGCAGTAACTGTAAGTCGCTCTGGAAAAGAGCGTCTGCTAAATGACTATAATTTAAATGTAAGTGCAGTCACAAAAACCATCAAGCACTATGATGAAACTGGCTCTCATGAGGTCCGCCACAGGAATGGAAGACCCAGAGTTACCTCTGCAGAGGATAAGTTCATTCAAGTTTTTTGGTTCAAACCCCCGTGTCTTTGTGAGACGCGTGTAGGTGAACGGATGATCTCCGCATGTGTATTTCCCACCGTAACGCATGGAGGAGGAGGTGTTATGGTGTGGCAGTGCTTTGCTGGTGACACTGTCTGTGATTTATTTAGAATTCAAAGCACACTTAACCAGCATGACTACATTCTGCAGCGATACGCCGTCCCATCTCATTTGTTTTTCAACAGGACAATGACCCAACACACCTCCAGGCTGTGTAAGGGCTATTTGACCAAGAAGGAGAGTGAAGGAGTGCTGCATCAGATGACCTGGCCTCCACAATCCCCCGACTTCAACCAAATTGAGTCGAACCGCAGAGTGAAGGAAAAGCAGCCAACAAGTGCTCAGCATATGTGGGAACTCCTTCAAGACTGTTGGAAAAGCATACCAGGTGAAGCTGGTTGAGAGAATGCCAATAGTGTGCAAAGCTGTCATCAAGGCAAAGGGTGGCTACTTTGAAGAATCTAAAATATTTTGATTTCTTTAATACTTTTTTGGTTACTACATGATTCCATATGTGTTATTTCATAGTTTTGATGTCTTCACTATTATTCTACAATGTAGAAAATAGTAAAAATAAAGAAAAACCCTTGAATGAGTTGGTGTTCTAAAACTTTTGACCGGTAGTGTATATTGTTAATTCAAATTATGTTAACTGAGTTGGCTCATGCAATGGAATGTATTTTGTGTAACGTCAGTTGAGTTCAATCAACAAATCACAGCACATATTGATGAGTGCACTTCCTGTTTTTACATCTATGGGTAAACTCGCAATGGCCGCCAGTCCACCCATTATGCCATCATTGACTTGAATGGGGACTCCCGTTCTATTCATTCTATTTCTATGGCGGCACATGCAATCAGGAGCGGAGAGGAAAAATATGCGTAAAAGAAAAAAACGGTTATTACGGTGAGCACAGTCATTTGGCTGGCCAATTACCGTCATCCAAAATTCCATGACTGTCACAGCCCTAGTCTGACACAACATTTACAGCATGTTCAATAACACTGTGTGTTCAAACAAAGCAGGGAAGAGGAAGCGATCAATCACCAATCACACATTCAACTGCAGCTTCAGAGGACTAGATTCGGAGTAGGGTGAGTGTGTGTACTGTACATCTGTAGAATGTGTGCGTGAGTATACAGTTGGTCGGTCTCACCTCCTTGTGGTCCTCCATAACAGTGAGTATGGTGTCTATGGTACTGAGGATCCCCAGAGCCATCACAGTCTTGTCTTCACTTTCCTCATACTCGTCACTCTGTAGCACCTTGGTGAAGATCTCAGCCTGGATACACACACATATGCAGGTGGTGTTAAAACGCATGCGTCGGTTTGGCCGTGCTCGCTTAAAAGACCTTTGCTTGAAAAACGAGAAAAAAAGTTGCAATTGTACTGTTTGTCCATCTAGAGACACCATAGCCAAAATAGTCAGAATTAATATAAGATAATTCAAGAAATCTGTCATGCCTAGGAGATCTTAGTCACGCAATTTTACATCTAACTAAGATGTTTGGTGCAGTATTTCACGGCTACCGACTTCGGCTTGCCTCGAGAAAAAATGTGTGCACGAACAGCCGAAAAAACCCTTGCCGAACACCAAAACGTCACAAAATGTAATAATATATGCACAAACTGTTCGGATGGGAAGCATGCGGATGCCTTTACACACACAACCAGACACAGGGGGTGGTTACACACACACACAGAGAGACAGACGCACTCTTACTTCTCACTCTTTATATAGCATCATAATGGTGAAAATCTTAACATGTATACATACAAAGACTTACACACACACACAAGACACAAAGACACACACAGATACTGATAAACAGTAGATCAGGCCAGCGGAGGCGTAGGGGGCATACCAGGTTCTGGGTCATGTCGACGGCGATGACGGCCACTTCTTGGTTGTACTCACAGATCATCTTCTGAATGACATTAGTGAGGTCATCGTTCTCCGTCTCCTTGATGACGTGGAGCAGCTCCTGCATGACAGGCCGGATGTAGGGCCTGATGTAGACCTTAGCTAAAGAGAGGGAGAGAGGAGGTTCAGTGTGTTTGTGTGTCTGTGCTAGCGACACTTGTGCATTTGTGTATGCATGTGCACATGTCCATGCATGAATGTGAGTCTCAGACCTTGCTCCTGGTTGCTGACCAGTGTCTGCAAGGCGATAGCAGCCTCCACCTTGACGGGCATCTCCTTGTCTGCTATGAGGTCCTGTTTGACCAGCTCCACCGCGTTCCTCAGGACCAGCTCGTTATGGAAACGCAGCGGACTGAACGAGTGCAGCACCCAGCAGGACTGAGGACAAACACAGGGTCACAATCACTAATCTATACACCACACGGATGAGCATCGCTATCAGTTTGACACCTATCCACATTAAGTACAAATCGGCACTCTCCACTTCACCAATATGTGCAGTGGTGCTCCCCAACACGTTCACCTGCCTGAAGATGGACAGTAAGTAAAAGAGCAGGGTTGAGGAGGGTAAAGAAATGCAGCAAGGGGAAGGGGGATGTTTAATCTATATAAAACAGGACTGACAGACCGTTCTGACTCACATGTATGGAATGTACCACCCAATAGGACTGTAGGTATAAAGAGGGAAGGAGCCATTTTAAAGATTGAAGAACTGCTAACACACGATCACACACATGCATGTTCTTACACACTCATTCTCAGCTCCATGAGAAGGGCTTGAAGGTTGGGTTAGAGGGGGTCTGAAGTGAAAGCATGTGTGTGTGTGTGTGTGTGTGTGTGTGTGTCTCACCCTGGCCCGGAGGTATCCCAGAGGGGAGTTCAGTAGAGGGAACACGTAGTTCTGTAACATCAGCTCCATCTGCTCCCTGTACACTCGCTTCTACAGCACGACAACAGGAAGAAGAGAGAGGACTCCGTCACAGATAGACTAAACAGGTCATAAAACAAGAAGGGAACGTACAGAGAGAGAGACACACACACACACACACAAAGTAACAGACACACACACGGCTGACCTTCAGTAGGAGTTCGGCCAGTGAGCCGATGACGTGCAGCGCCCCATCCTTCCTGCGGGGGTCAGCAGAGGGCTCCATCATGATCTGGTGGCAGAACTCCATCATCTGGGGAAGCACCTGGGAAGAGGGGGGACAGAGCAGTGATGCATGTCATATCAGAGAAGTCTCAGTTAAGGAAAGGAAATGAGGAAAGTAAGCTATTTAGGACTGTTGGGTCATTTTTCTTTGGTTCTAATGTGGTTCTCCACTCACCTCCTTCCTCTTGCGGGCTGCTTTACATAGGAGGCTCTGGGCGGCAGTGGCAGGGAGGGCATGGTCATCATACACATCTGGAACAGAGAAGAAAACACAGTCAAGCTTACTGTATGTCTATTCTATGGAAGCCATTCAATTTCAATTTAACATGTCATGCCTTATATTGACCATAAGATGTCCCACTACCTCCATAACTACTAAGATTGAGTTATAGAACTGTGTGAGTACTCACTGAACTTCATGCGGATGTACTCGTATGGATCCTCCTGCCACAGTTTCTCATCCTCATCTTTGTAACACATTAGAGGGAAGATCACCTCTTGGCTGATGGTCTGTGGAACACACACTCAGGTTAACTACTAACTACACTACTATAAGTGGGATTGTACAATAGTTTTCAGAAGCATACCATTATTCAGATTAGCTCAATTACAAAGTATATTAAACAGCTGATCTAAATGCGGACATAACGATTAAACAAATTAAACTTTGACCATCACCTGCCACATACTGTAACTCAATCCAAGTTGTAATGTCACAACCCTATAAACACAGATTTAACACCGGTATAATAATGTGTAATTTCACACACAATCCCACGTGATGGAAAAGCGCTATATATAAATCAAATCCATTATTATTAACATGTCACAGGGGTACAGGTGTAGTGGTGTCTGTGTGACCCACTTGCATGTGCAGCTTCATGTATTTCCAGGTGAGGGAGTGAGACAGGCGCCTGGTTCCGGTCGTACAGGTCATTCAGGGACTGTGTGTGTGTGTGTGACCCACCTGCATGTGTGGCTTTATGTGTTTCCAGGTGAGGGAGTGAGAAAGGCCCTGGTTTAGGTAGTTAAGAGATTTCTGGAGGACGTGAGGTGTGACATACTGCTTCTGTCTGTGTTGGTCCACCACCTTCAACAGGACCTGAAGGAGAGACGGGGTCGCATCAGATCGTACGGGGTCAGACTAAACAGAAGAATACTGCTGCTCATATACACATCAACATTGGTAGATGTGGACAACAGACATCTAAACATTCAAGCTTGATGTCACATTTAGTGATACAAACTCTTACCTGTTGGATCCCTACAGCGTACGTCTTCAAGAAAAAGTCTGCAAACTCAAAGTACTCCTTTGTCACGTTGCCTGGGCTTCCATACCTACCACACAAGTACAGAACAACATGGTTAGGGTGAAAAGGGCTCAGATCAAGATCCACACAAACATATTCACATCAACCCACATTCACATCTACATACGTCCAAATTCATCAACACACAAATACATCTCCCGTGCCCCCTCACCTCTCGAACAGTCTGGTGATGATGTATAGGGCCCACTTCTTACTCTTCCACCACACCAAGTCAGGACGGTCGTCCTCATCCACCTCCAACGTCTCCTAGCAACCACACACAACAGAGGTTCGCCACTCCCATTGAATAAAAAACGTAGGTAGAAGAATTTGCAGAAGAAAGACAGGTCTACACAATGAAGAAGGATGAAATCAAACTTACTGGGGGGACATCTCTGTCCATAACAGCTCTGAGGATCTCCATCCACTGGGTAATTACTGTGTTATTAATCAGCTGGAGAGGCAGGGAGTACTGGGAGCGGAATAGAGACTGGTGTTAGTATCACACAAACGTGCGCACGCACACACAGTCAGTCAGTCAGTCACAGTCCGTTCTCGCACCTGTACGAGTGCGTGGAAGATCTTGAGGATCTGTTTCTGTATGAGGACAGAGAAGATGGTGCCGTCCGGCAGTAGCTGGGTGATGAGCTGCTGGATACGGGGCAGGAAGATCTGCATGGCTGCTAGCAACGGGTCCCTCTCCTCCGCCTTCTTATACCTGACACACACAGACATAGACACACACAGCACATCAGCACACAGACGTGATATCACCGACAACAGGCTGGGTGCAATGACTGAAAAATGTAAATGGAATAATCATTTATATCACTCAGCTTATACACTAGAACTACTAAACTAGGACTGAAAATAGTGGCTCAAAACACAGCATCGTTATGACTTGATCACTAGTGAGAGTGATGGGTCCCCAGGAGGGACAAAAAACAGCGGTTGGTTGACTCACTCGTAGGTCTTGACCAGCTGGTAGAGGGCCAGCAGGCTGCCGTACCAGCTGCCACTGTTCTGAGACTGCAGATACAGGCCGATCTTATCCACAATGGCCGTCCAGCGCCCAGGGAAGTCATGCTTTATGATGGCTCGCAAACACACTGTCAACTGGGCCCTGGGATACAGAATACACACAAATACATCAGCATTGTATCCTTTCTTTAACATGCCATCACTAATTTACCCTCCCACCCCTCTTCATTGGGCACTTGACTACACAGTCAAGTGACCTGGTTTCAAAGGCTCTAGGTACAGCAGAGCAGAGGACTGGAGCTGCGTATTAGGCTAAGGGGTAAGGGTTAGTGGGGTAAGGGAGGTAAAGGAGTTACGGTTCGGACAGCAGGACCCACCGGATGGACTCGGGACACTGGATGATGCCCTCCACGATGTTGTCTCTGATCTGCGTGCGGTCGTTCTCGTGGATGTTGAAGGGGAACACCACCTCCCCTAGAGAGGGCTCACGGTCCTGCCAGTACTGGCTCACCATGTTCTTCAGGTAGATGGCCGCTGGCGCACAGAGATGACATCACACATCACAACATCACTCCGACTGGCAAGACTGACACAATTCTGCCAGTTTCCCAGACACAGATCAAGCCTAGTACTGGACTAAAAAGCATGCTAAATGAAGAATCTTCATTGAAGGTGATCTTTAGTCCAGGACTAGGCTTAATCTGTGTCCAGGAAACCAGCCCAAAGTGAGAGTATTATCAGTATTGGTTATAGTTGTTGCATTGGTCCAGTGATGTTTTAAAAATAACCAGATGCAGTTCTTTAGGTAATGTTCTTGGGCAGGGTTCTTACCTGCTTGGCGAACAGGGAACTCCACCTGTTCAGACACAATGATCTGGAGCAGAGTGGGGGCAAAGTTGATGATCTTGTACGACTGGAACACACAAAATAAGACACTGCTTTAAAATGAGCTCAACCCAAATCTGACCACATACAGTCAAGCACCTGACTACTTCAGCTGTCAGTTTCACATCTACAGCACACAGTGAGCACAGTGGTCAACACAGTTATATGATGATAGAGCAGAGTGTAAGGAGGTGGATCACTGAGGAACAAGGAAAATACAGTACAGGTGAAGCACGCTCACATCAATCTTGCCAGACCAGTTATCAGATTTAAGGTAGTAAAAAAGAGCCATGGTCTGTCATAGATATAACCAGCAACCAACAATTAAAAAATGAGGGACATTTTGTACAGAATGCTTTCTCTTTCTTTATCTCCCTCTATCACTCTCCTCCTCTCCCTGTCCGAACTGCTCCTCTGCTGCAGAAGAGTCAGCATTCTGTCTCCAGCAAATGCCCCTGATTTCACTTGGTAGCGTCACTGACTGACAGGCATTTATCACAGAGACGCCAATAATTTGTCCTGATTAGTGTATACCTACTGAAGTGGACAGTATGCCAAGTCAAGGCAGTGTAGGCCTATGGCAGATGTAGTTATTTTCAGTGACGCAATCATGACCTAGGCCTGCATATGCTGCAAGTTACCCATCTTTCATTAAGGCAATGAGCAGTTGAAACAATAACAAAGCGTTCTGCCCGCCCCTGATTCGGTAAAAAGCTGATGGATGGGGCTGGAGAAAAGTAACTACACTCAAATTCGTAGATAGAGATATGGATGCAAGGACTGACCAGCCATGATATAAACATGAGGCTATAGAGTTTGTTTACGTTTCCTTTATTTACAAACAGTAAAACAAGCTTATATTTTGAGTTCTGGTGGGGTACGACAGTTGAACTAAACTCATGAGGCATTTATAAGTTATATTCTTCAAGAATCAATGGGTACATATTATGAATTTATAGTCGAAAAATAAATGTAGCAACTGCAGACTGAACATTTAAGATGCTTTAACAAGATGCATTTGTCTATCGCATTTTGATTTGGTTTTGGATGAAAGAGGGATTCGGCGAATTCACCGCTCAAATCCAATTTAACCATAAAAACTTTTACTATTGCTGGCTGAAATTGCTGCAATTGTTACAACTCGCGCATGTCTACAATTAAAATCCAATCAGACACTTGCTTGCTACATTGTTTCACGAACAGCCCCATCTCTGTAATGCAGCACAGTGTGCGCACACACTGCTTCAAAATTATATTGTTCTCCAGTGCAACAGTTTATGTCGCAAGTTACATTAAATGTCAATCTACTGTTCCGTGTCCTACACAATAAACAGAGAGATGCAGATATAAGTTATATAACGACTAGTCATTGATCACGAAACACGGCCTTGTTGCGATCCAAATCATAAACACGGACACCCCTTTCTGGAAATGGGTTCATGCTGCCCCGATAACAAAAACAACAAAGTTATTTTGGCCATCACCCACCTGATTGAGTTCGTTTTCAGCCGCTATCCGGAGGTTGGGATCTATCGTCCCTTTCAGTGCTTGAATTATCCGATTGGGATCCATAGTGTCCAATCCAGGTCTAATCGAGCGGTAATTTCTATGTTTCACAATCACATACATGAACTGCTCCAGATTCGGCAAAGCGTTGTGGATTTGCCCTAGCCCTGCCCCAATTTACCACCAATCAGCAGGCGGTGGACGCAAAGCAATGGAAATAGTGGCGATTTACGGTAGCCCTTCTTTCTTCTTCTCTCTGTAATAGGTATATACTTTTTACTGCCACCTTAAGAGCTGGAGTGGTCATGACTGAAAATGTCCCTTCTTTCACAATTATTAGTTGTAACCTAAGATTTTACATTATGTTTCTTAACCAGGGGCGTAGGCACGGGTGGGCCCACTGGGGAGCCAGGCCCACCAAATCAGAACAAAAAAACTGCTCTTTACTTGTCAGTGTTCCAAACAGGACATTAGTCATTTTACCTAAACATGCAAACACCATTAGATAGAATTCATAGCAAGCAGTGCACTGGATTAGTCAAATTTAATGAAATATAACAGAACAGATGACCTAGAATGACATTCACTCTCACGGGATGGGTTGTCAAAGAGAGCCAACTGAAAGCCACAGCCCCAATAACCAACAAATATGACTGCATGGAGGTGTCACTGTGCTTCTATGGCTGTATGTATCATGTCACTGCCTACTTCATTTGTTCATTTAGCAGGGCTGCCAACTTTTAAAGAAAGCTTGGAGTGAGATTTGCTATGTGAATTTCTTTGCCCACTGGCAAAACCCCTAGATGTGGGATAATTTTACTGTTTTAAAGCTCATTTCCTTCTATTCTACGTATTTTGACATGGCTTAGGCCTATGACCAGAGCGGAAAATGTTAAAATAAAAACCACCACAGGTCAGGTGTATTAAGGAAGCTTTGAACATTAAATAAATACTCTAAATTGGACGACTTTGTTACTTTGCAATCTTTGGGGATGAAATGTAAAGTATGCAATTTTTTTTATTACATACTGTCTTTTTTAGGGATTTTAACACTTTATTCAGACAGTAATGAAATGAGATAGGGAGACAGGCAAATGCTAGAAACAGTGGGAAGGTTGGAAGCAGGGATTGATCCCTGTTCTCAGGTGGAAAGTTGTAGTGTTACAGCTACACCAAGGCTCTGGACAGGAAATATGAATGGTTAATGGCAGTGGGTAACCAAATCATAGATTGCAGTCTCCTTGTTCATATACTGCTTTCAAGTTAAGGAAACAAACATTTTGTATTTTGGGTGAACTCTCTCTTTAAAATAGGGCTAGAAGAAAAATCCTGCTTGCTCTCCAGGAGGGTTGGCCACCCCTGATCTATGTTTCCCAAGTGCTGGGTGTTTAAAAATGTTCTTGTTATAACAATTAATTTCTCAAAATCACCAAACCTTCAAGAAAAATCTAATGAATATCAATATTGAGGTGGTTTATGCCTATTAATTGAAGATCCTTGCCGTCATCTTACTCTACAAAATATGTGTTTATGAGTTGCCTAGCATGTGCACAATACTAAAATGTCAAAAATTATATTTGATTCCTGGAGCATTTCATATCCAATGCTTATTTGTATGACTTATTAAAAACTGCCCATGAATGGCTGCAAAAATATACTGAACAAAAATACAAATAAAGTGTTTCATGAGCTGAAAGTAAAGATCCCAGAAATGTTCCATACGCACAAAAAGCTTATTTCCCTTCAATTTTGTGCACAAATTTGTTTACATCCCTGTTAGTGAGTATTTCTCCTTTGCCAAGATAATCCATTCACCTGACAGGTGTGGAATATCAAGAAGCTGATTAAACAGCATCAAATCAAATTGTATTACATTTACATTACATTTTAGTCATTTAGCAGACGCTCTTATCCAGAGCGACTTACAGTTAGTGAGTGCATACATTATTTTTTTTATACTGGCCCCCCGTGGGAATCGAACCCACAACCCTGGCGTTGCAAACGCCATGCTCTACCAACTGAGCTACATCCCTGCCGGCCATTCCCTCCCCTATCCTGGAAGACGCTGGGCCAATTGTGCGCCACCCCATGGGTCTCCCAGTCACGGCCGGCTACGACAGAGCCTGGATTCGAACCAGGATCTCTAGTGGCACAGCTAGCACTGTGATGCAGTGCCTTAGACCACTGCGCCACTCGGGAGACTATTGGTATTGGTCACATTCACGTGTTTAGCAGATGTTATTGCGGGTGTAGCGAAATGCTTGTGCTTCTATGATCATTACCCAGGTGCACCTTGTGCTGGGGACAATAAAAGGCCACTCTAAAATGTGCAGTGTTGTCACACAACATAATGCCACAGATGTCTCAAGATGACTGTAAGTCGCTTTGTATAAAAGCGTCTGCTAAATGGCATATTATTATTATTATTATGAGGGAGCGTGCAATTGGCATGCTGACTGCAGGAATGTCCACCAGAGCTGTTGCCAGAGAAATGAATGTTTATTTCTCTACCATAAGCCACCTCCAACGTCATTTTGGAGAATTTGGCAGTATGTCCAACCGCCTCACAACTTCAGACCACGTGTAACCATGCCAGCCCAGGACCTCCACATTCGGCTTCTTCACCTGCGGGATCGTCTGAGACCAGCCACCCGGACAGCTGATGAAACTGAGGAGTATTCCTGTCTGTAATAAAGACTAAATAAAAACTAATTCTGATTGGCTAGGCCTGGCTCCCCAGTGGGTGGGCCTATGCCCTTCCAAACCCACCCATGACTGCACCCCTGCCCAGTCATGTGAAACTCATAGATAAAGGCCTAATTTATTTATTTCAATTGACTTATATGAACTGTAACTCAGTAAAATCATTGCATGTTGCGTTTATATTTTTGTTCAGTATACATAGCCTCAATTAATTTTCAAAGACACATAGGCATATCAGATTTCAAATATGTGATTACATTGGCAATATTAGGAAGTGGAATAATAAAATAAGTGTGGGGAATAAAGTAGTGTTCTTGCTGTCAAGCACAGTAATTACCCTTTATTTTAGCCCATTGTTAAGAATGAGAATTGTTCCACTGATCAGACTAAATAAAGTAAATAGATAAAATGTCCTGAAGACAAGATGACAAATCTGCCCTAACCAAATTATTTTTGTAGTTATTGCCCCCCCCCCCCCCCAAAAAAAAAAATATCAAACTTTTAGGTAAACAATCTGTTACAAATCAGGTCACCCTACCAAACGTCCCTGCTAAAACATACTGTAGGTCTGTCTGCTGCCTTTTCGTTGTCACAGCCTAAATGTCAATCACTAAATCGACTTTAGTACATGCCGTCAAAAGGCAGCCTTCTGCAATAGGGACGGGAGTAAAAGAAACCTAATTTTGTTGACAACATTGTACATAAAACAGCGCTACCATTCTACTTACTTATTTTACAGTTTTATAAACTAATTCAACTCCACTCTAATCTTGAGGAGCGTTTCTTTAAAACATGCATCCAATCCCTACATCACTAGACCAATCATATGCTTCAATGTGCCGCGGTTCACAGTGCTGTGGCAAGACAGGACAATGATAAGAGGTTCCGCTCGTGATGTTAAATTGCAGGCGCAGATGCTGATTTCAAAACGATTTGGAGCACAGTTCAAACGTTAACGCGCTGACTATACAATGGACGAATTAGAAAAATAAATAAAATATTTTAGCTTTAAAAATGATACATTCACTCAGCCTCCGAGCAAAATGTGTAGAACAGCATGAGATGAGCTATGAAACTGCAAATGTTCCTCTCTGCCCCATGGCAAAATATGTAGAATTGTAGGAATTTTGCTTTAAAACAGCAACACGCTCAGCCTTTAACCGGGAGACCCATGGGGCGGCGCACAATTGGCCCAGCGTCCTCCAGGGTAGGGGAGGGAATGGCCGGCAGGGATGTAGCTCAGTTGGTAGAGCATGGCGTCGTTATGGGTTAGATTCCCACGGGGGGCCAGTATGAAAAAATAATAATAATGTATGCACTCACTAACTGTACGTCGCTCTGGATAAGAGCGTCTGCTAAATAACTAAACATGTAAATTCAAAATGCTGGCTTGTAGAGGTCGGGAAAGGAAACTTTCCTGATTCAAACACTAATTTCTGCCTGACGTAGATTTCAATGCAATTCAACATTGGGTTTCCAGCCCCACTTAGAAGTAGGCTACATTTAGTATACTTTACATTTACATTACATTTTAGTCATTTAGCAGACGCTCTTATCCAGAGCGACTTACAGGAGCAATTAGGGTTAAGTGCCTTGCTCAAGGGCACAGTTACGTCATTTAGCAGACGCTCTTATCCAGAGCGACTTACAAATTGGTGCATTCACCCTATAGCCAGTGGGATAACCACTTTACAATTATAATTTTTTTTTTTGGGGGGGGGGGGGGGGGGGGGGGGGGGTAGAAGGATTACTTTATCCTATCCCAGGTGTTCCTTAAAGAGGTGGGGTTTCAAATGTCTCCGGAAGGTGGTGAGTGACTCCGCTGTCCTGGCGTCGTGAGGGAGCTTGTTCCACCATTGGGGTGCCAGAGCAGCGAACAGTTTTGACTGGGCTGAGCGGGAACTATGCTTCCGCAGAGGAAGGGGAGCCAGCAGGCCAGAGGTGGATGAACGCAATGCCCTCGTTTGGGTGTAGGGACTGATCAGAGCCTGAAGGTACGGAGGTGCCGTTCCCCTCACTGCTCCATAGGCAAGCACCATGGTATTGTAACGGATGCGAGCTTCAACTGGAAGCCAGTGGAGTGTGCGGAGGAGGGGGGTGACGTGAGAGAACTTGGGAAGGTTGAACACCAGACGGGCTGCGGCATTCTGGATGAGTTGTAGGGGTTTAATGGCACAGGCAGGGAGCCCACAGGCAGGGAGCCCAGCCTTTAAGTGGGCATTTCAGCAAGTAGGATTACATTTAGTTGTAATTAAATAGTACTATAACAACTTCAATTTATTTAGCACAAATAAAGTTGATCGAAAATAAAAAGGTAGCCTACATAAACATTTTAGGTTTTATTAGTATATTTTAGTCCTCATTCGGACTAATCTTTGAAGAGTCTTTAAAAAACATTAAAATGCGTTAAAATACATTAAAAACATTAAAATATTTTATTTGAAGACAGCGTGGTCCCTTGGGGAACTGAGCTATACA